CTCCGCCATATTCCTGTCTGTGACCCCCATTCAACCCACCTTTCTGCTGCTGGTTGAAACGTGATAATAGGGGCGCCCCAGCGCCCACTCCACTAACTTGACATGGAAATGAGCGGTAGTCTAGAAAACTGGCGAGTTTTGAGAGTTTTTTTTTGTTTTGTTTTTTTTGGAGGGCGCTCGTGCGCCCTCACATAGATTGCGCCCTGGGCGGTCGCCCACATTGCCCATAGCAAAAACCATCCCTGGTTTAGAGAAACGCACAATGAGAACATTTTTTTCTGGCAATTGGACAGTCTTATTGCAGGGAGTGTGTATTTTCTGGGAAACATTACTTGCTGTCGGAGAAGTGAAATAGGCAAAATAGGGTTTCAGAATTTTGGGTCGTCGGAGCAGTGTGCAGTCCCCAACAGGAGAGTGACTGATAGATGAGCAACACAAATGTGGAATTTATGCTCTGCTTTTAATGGAAGTATTTTGCCATTCCCTTTTACAAGAAAAAGGCTTTAATGATCAGCAGTATGTTATCCTTGGACAAATAGTTTTGAGGGGTAACTTTTGTCCATCTTGAAGGTGTTTAACCACTGCTCACTTGTCAAGAAAGGTATTGCCAGTATAAATATTTGGTCTGCTAATTACTCTTATGTTTTATTTTAACAGGCAGAAAAGTCAATGATGTACTTACAGCTTTAATCACTCACTTAACATTCCAGTCGCTGCAACCCATGAGTCCATTTGTATTGCAAATGGACAAGCCTAAAGACTGTTTCATTAAGTGCCCTGTCTTCTATCAAGCTCCACTTCCTATTCCATTATTGGAGATCAATATCAGATTGTGGGAGGATGCGCCTGCATGTTTAACGGGCCCACGCCGACCAATGGCAGCTCACATGTGGGACTGTAGCCTATGGGAGCTGGACCACAGAGACAGCATGAGTGATGTGTTGACAGTAGTTAGGTAAAGAGTGCTTCATCACGGTTTCTCATCAGAGGCCGTGTGTACCAACAGGCGCTCCATCAGATGGTCCCCGTCGATTTACACCTGCCCCACTGCCCGTAATGGCAGGAATTAATCACAGGTAGCAGGTGAATACACAAACACACACTCACAGATAGGACCGAAATCCGTCCAAGCACATGTGATAACAAGACAGTACACAGGAGCAGGAGTGTTTCTGCACACACACACACACACACACACACACACACACACACAACCCTGACCGTAGAAGGGAATCTCTAGAGCTGTTCGTAATCTTACACAAACAAGTGTTACATTCCCCTAATGCGTGTGTGACTCATGTATGACGAATCCACTCAGGCCTGCAGGCTGTTGTCATGGTGGGCTCATGAGAACACACGCTGGCATCACCTCACGGACAGCAACCTGTCCAGCGCTTTCTCCGGCAGGACGGCACCTGCGCTGACCAATGAAATGCGTGAAATCCCAGCGGGGGAACCAATAGGTTTTAGGATTGAGGGAGTATTAGCGTGCGTTTATAAAAATTCATGTCAGCAGTGATGTCCCAGATTAGATGGTTTTGAGCTGTAGAAAAGCCAGATGCAGGGAAGGCACTTTACTGAGGGAACGTACAGGCTGTCACACAGAAACTAAAGCTAAAAATGGTTGACTGGCTCTTTTCATATCATCAGTAAGAGCACTAAGTAAATAGGAAAGCTTCTGATTAACACATTTCAAGGGATAAATAAATACCATGAATGAAATCCTCCCTCTTTTTTTCCATGTTTTAAGTTAGTAAAATGTCACATGTATGTCCAAGCAGCAACACCTTTTAGATTCCAGTAAACATACCTGTGCATACCCAGGGCTGTGTTGTGAAGGTAACATCCAACAAACAACCAGCCTAATTTACAGAGGTGTAGACTCGAGTCAAATTACATGAACTCGAGTCACAAATTTGATAATTACATTCAACTTAAAAAAAATCTAAAAAGACTTGCAACTCAGCTTTGGCCTTTACACCAATGACCCATGACCTCACTTAGACTTGAGCCTTTTGACTTGAAAATACTTGAAACCTTCCCCCATACCCAAAGATTAAAAAGTATGCAATTTGAAAAGTGTGCCACAACTTAATGCCCCTCATTTCTTGAATCAGCTTACATTTTCTAAATTGAATACATTATTATCCTGTTGTTAAAATGGCATTACATTTGGTGACGAGTACATTATGACTTGTTCAGGACTTCAGACTCAATGTTTGGGACTTGGGACTCAACTTGGGACTTGAGTGTAAAGACTTGAGACTTGAGATCTAGAGTTGTCTTGCTTTGGTCTGAATCAGGGACTCATTTTGTTCCAAAGTTGCGTTATTACCTAGAGTTGGTTCGTGTTCTCACGGCAACATTTACAAGCGGACCAGATCAAATGCCTTGTGTGAGAAAGCTGCTCTTGATTGGTCAGAATTTCCATGTGGGAAAAATCCAGGAAGTAAAGCAAGCGTTGAAGAAGAGTACACTTAAGATAAATGTGACACTTTCTAATGTCACAATGGAGGGACAACTACGCAGGTTGATTTTAGGGCTGCTCATCGTCGACTATATTGCTGTCATTGTTCATTTTAGTCAAACCATACAGTTTGAAAATGAGGCGCGGCTCCAACTAGAAAACAATGTTTTGATGCATTGGATGTGCTGAATGTGCATATTAAGGCAGTACAGGAGGAGGTGCACATTAATAATCCTCCAGGACTATAACATGCTCATGTTTAACCCAAACAATGTGTCATGTGACTGCAGCTGGTTCAGATCCAGGTCAGAACACCTTCTCACCACAAATGAACCGCACCAGAGTTCGTTTGTAACCGGACCAAACAGGGCAGGTGTGAAAGCACCCTTGCAAAACAATGACTTGGTCCTGTCTTTGCTATTTTACCATGAAAACCACTACAATAATTCTCTTAGTCGAGTTAGTAATGAAAGGAAAGCCTGTACTCAATCAGTTGGCCAATTGGACAGTTAATCAATAATCAGTTTACAGCTGCTAAAAGAGTTTCACTTACAGCTTAAATAACAACTACCTGTAAAAACACTTTAAATGGCTGTTATACTGTCTGACTGTTGTGCACTGAGAGGCTACAGCTATCACTACATCCTTCACCATGTCAACCTGAGCTCAAACCACTCGACAGCGAGGATCCACCCTGCTGAAGTGTCCTTGAGCCGACCACTGAATAGCTTCCTATTAGCTGAAGAGATGCTGTTGATATTGTCCTGACCTCTGAACTTCCTGCACACATAAAATCAGTTTTATATTGCCGGAAAAATGCACCACCTGAGTTTGCTCAGACAGATACTTTACACAGACCATTGGAAGCATTTCAAAAGCTGTAATTCATTGGTTTACTGAAACATTGTGTACATTATAAAAGCTGAGGTATTGCTGGACAGTGTTTTGAAAAACACTGTCCAGCTGTTTTGAAAAAGTTCCTCCCGTCATCTGAACATTTCAACTGTCTGGACAACAGATATATTCTGCATGAAGATGATCTGAGGCTTTTTGCCGCTGGGTGTCCTGGTTGCCCTGCTTAGGTCATGACATGCAGCACCATCTCGTGACGAGACAGTCCTCTTGGCTTCCTACCAACGCCCTACAGACTGAGGCCATGTGTCTGCTCGCTTGTCTGTGAATAACTGCTCCGCGCCGCCCCTCGCCTTCACTCTGTCTTTTTACTCTTTCTCCATCATCTGCTCTCTGTCTTTCACATCTCGCACTCTGTGGATTTCAGTTCATTGCTTCTCTACTTTGCAATCAAACTCCTTCTTTCCCCATCTTTTCCTCAGTTTCCTTTGGGGATTTTATTTCTCTTCGTCCTCCTTAACAACCCTCTGTTTCTGCTCTCGTCTCTTTCTCGCTGCCACTGAGACCCTGCAGCCAGGATGACTAGTCCAGTTGATGAGCGACACTGCTCCTCCAGTGTGTCATGAATGAGGGGAAGCAAATGCTGACCCATCATCCCATCATAACACCAAAAGGAAACAAGTCTATCTAACCATCCAGCCGACACAGAGTGCTCTCAGAGCAACACTCCAAATCACTTCAGTTTCATAAACCGGCAAAATTCACACTCAGAGCTTTGTCAGCAGAAGAAGACTCATCTCCTGCCAAAAAAAGGATGTTTCTCCACATCAGTCACTTCGTAAACTGGCTGACATTTATTCACTCAATAATTCAAGAGTACCACTAACGTGAGTGAGTCAGTGGCTACAGGGGATTGGCTTAAACTGCTAATTCAGACAGTCTCTAATGAACCCATGCTGAACCTGTGGTTTTCAAACATGTCCCAAGAAAACCCCAAACTCAGAAATGTGTCCTTTACTAGATGTGAAATCATGTTTAATACCATCTCCAAAGCTGATGCGCCTCTGTGGCTAAAACGCTCATCAATAATTGCTCGTCCTGCGGCCAACGGGAATGAGTTATTCAAACTAAAATACAAGACATCCCGGCATGTATAGTGATGCATAAATCATAACTGCCCTGATCTTGCGCTCGTGACTAGTTTTTTTAGGTTGCGGAATGACTTCATACTTGACAGAGAAAGAAAGCGAAAGATAAGAGGGAAGGCGGGAGGGAGGGGTTGGATTGTGGGAAAGCTGAAATGAGGCTTGGGATGGCATCTGAAGCAGAGTTGACGAGAGGAAAAAGGAGGGAGAAAGAAGACATCAGCGTGGCGAGGTACAGCAGAAAATGAATGACAGCAATAAAGGCATTGTGGACTTTAAGGTGAGGTATCGTCACGCTGCTTTGGATGTCCAAAGCCTTTGTGTGCACACAGTGTCCCTCCTGGTCGCCTAACCCTCCCGTCACTATCAGTCAGAGGGATTAAAGACTGAGAGTGGAGCGGGGAAGGATTCATATCCTGCACATGCATTGGCATACTTGTATTTTAAATACTGTATGCATGCAGAGACGTACAGCAGAAACATAAAGACACATGCACACGACAGCAATCGCACACCGCACTCTGACAAGAACTCACCTTCCGATCATAGTAGAGTGCTGCTGCACAGCGGCCTCTAGTAGGCGCTCTAGGATGGTCCATTCTCCCATGGTTGGAGTCAGGAGGCATCCACTGGGCACAGGAAATCAGCTGGGGGCTTCCCAGTCAGCAGGGCACCGGAGCTGGTCCCTTCTTCTGAGTCTTCAAGTCCACTTGTTGGGTTGCAATGAGGTAGGGAGCGGCGTCAGGTGGCTTGTCCGGTGTTTAAAGAGGAGTCAACCTCGAAGGAGCTCAGTGGCACCTCATTGTGAGCTTCTTTTCTTTAGGTGCTGTCCCAAAGTACACACACGCCCTTAACTGCACCTGAGATGGTTGGACTGAAGCTCGTCTACTTGCTCGCTGCACACACACTCATCGTTGACTGTGTGTGTTATTCTTCGTCCATGTGTCTGTCTTCCTGCCTCCCTCCTTGTGTCCCTTCTCTGGGTGCACCGGACCCTGTCACCTCCTACAACAGCTGCTGTGTCATATGTTCTCGCACTGACACACACACCTGCTCCAGCACGCAGACACACCAGCGCTCATCTACTTCTACTGAGTTTCAAGGTAGTTTGTGCAAACAGGCATCCATCACTCCGCCCTCACACACTGGTTCTTTGACAGCATCTTGTAGTAACTCTGGGCAGGCTCAGGTCCATACACTCATGTGAGCCTGAGTAACCGGGGATCTGTGTCTCTGCTCGTTCTCTGCTCCTCCATCCTCTTCATTTCTTCCACCCAATGGATTCCTTCTCCTCCTCTCTGTTGCTCCTCTCCTTCTCCTGGTTTGGTTCAGGCAGCGCTGGACTGAAGCATCGCACTCCTCTTCCTCCTCTTCCACCGTCTCCTTCCCTCCACTTGAAACCGTGCGAGAGTCACTGGCTTCTCCAGTCCTCCTCGTCCTCACTGCCTCTCTCCTTCCCTCCGCGTTTCTGTCAGCGTGGTTTACGAGAGGCAGCTCTCCTTTCCTCTCTTCCCTTCATCTTGTTTTTCCCTTCCCACTTGGTTTCTCTCTCTTTCTCTCTCCGTTTGCGCCCTCCACCTGCCTCCGTCTCTCTCTCTGAGCCAGTAGGCAGCCAGACCGAGCGTGTGTCTAGAGGATTAGAGAGAGGAATCATCTCTCTGCTCCTCCCCCCTCTCACTCACTCTCCATCAGTGTTTATCCCCCCTTCTCCTCCTCCTCCTCTTCATCTCTTACTGCTCCACCACCAACAACACAAACCATTTTCTACTCTTCTCTCTCTCAGCACATTGCTCATCATTTTGTCTTTCATATGTGTTTTTATCATCTCCATGTCTGTGTGCACTGATACCTACTGTAGCAAGGATGATCTTTGCTGTTAACACACACATGCACACACACACACACACACACACACACACACACACACATATCCAGACATGTAAGGCATTGCTATGCAGAGGCTATGCATAGCATGAGTGAGTGTGTGTACGAGAGGGAGAGATGGAAATGGAATTAGTGACAGTCATCAAGATTTAGAGCAATTTGTGGGATGGGTTGGATGCACTCACTCACTCACACACACACACACACACACACACACACACACACACACACTGTAATCACAAGTCATTTTTTCTAGAGATGAACAATAATTACAAGGTATCACTGAGGGCCAGATTACTTTCATCGATTAATCTGTTGATTATTTTTGGATTATTTATTTAAAATCTTGCGTAGGGCCACTCGAGGACAGCTACTGTTACAGACTGATTACACTTGATTTAGAATAGTCTAGACTCTTAAATTGGACTTTTTTAGGCCCAAAATATATTTGGCAAATCCCATGGGGTGGGGTGGTTGGAGGACTCCTCTAAAACTACAGGCTACCTCACTAACAATGGGGTCTTCAGCTTGTTTTGTGCGAGCTAAACCCAAATTATGTTCAGTTTGCAGTGAAATTAAAAACAGAAAATGTGCAAATACTCAGATTGGAGGAGCTGGAATCAGCAAATGTTTGGTATGTTTGCTTGATAACTGAATTGAAACAGCTATAATACATGTTATTTTTGTATATTATGAATGAATGATACGTTAAGAATTTCATTCGACTTGATGGTTCCTCTTTCTTTTTATGTATTTTTTTGTCTTCCTTATAGCATTGTTTTCAGCCACAGCAGGAAGCTGTTTTCAGAGAAAACTGTGTACTACCTGCGTAACACTAAACGGCACGCAGACTAACTGGGGAACATAGCGGAGCATTTAGTGACTTAAGAGTCAGCTATTTCCCTCAGGAGTTAGTGGAGACCAAAAAGCTCAGAAACAAACAAAGAAATACTCTGCCATCTATTTCCAAACAGGTGCACAGGGGGAGGGAGGAGCAGAACACAACTTGTAGAAGAAACTCAGATACAAATAATGATTTCAGTGGTGCAACAGTTTGGTTAAAGGGGAGTGAATTCGACTAATTCTGCATTCATGTAAACTTTGACAGGAGGTACGTAGGCTACTTGTTGCAGTTGGTTACCAAGTGAAACCGCACACAGACTATAGCTGCTACAACATTAGCTTAATCATTTGTATTAAGTGTTAATATTGGAATTTTATTTTCACTGTAACAGCCAGCGAAGGCGCTTTTGCAGCCAATCTGCCAACAGCTGGTTAATTGTATTCACCAGGTGAATTACTACAGATCAGTGCCGTTTTGTGTCTGCTGGATGTCTAAATCTACTAAGTTAACATATGGTGATAATATCTATATGTTATGTCAACAGGTTGTTTTGACAGATACTGTTAGCACCCAGGTGTCAGTCACCAACAATGCTGTATACACCCAGGTGTATGTATTACTGAGTGTCCTCACAACATCGAAATATGTTTCATTTATAAACATGTGTACACACAAAACGAGGCTTGTAAGAGGCGCATGCCACCTCCCATGGAAATGTTGTGATCTATAAAACTAGACTTGATGGGAGAAGCTTTGACCCATGCTTAGGAACATTTTGAAGACGGGAAATTGGCCACGCAGATGGTAAAGTAGAAGCCTGATTGTAGAAATTGTCGAATATGTTTTGGCTCTTGTCCATATGTATACATTATACATATATTTTAGATATTTTGGGGGGCTTTTTGCCTTTATTTGACAGGACAGCTATAGCATGAAAGGGGGAGAGGTGGGGGATAACATGCAGCAAAGGACCTTGAACCTGCAGCCGCTGCGGCAAAGACACAGCCTTTGAACAAAGCCTGCTCTACCAGGTGAGCTAGTGAGCACCCCATCTGTATGTACATTTTAAGTATGGATCGTACGCACTGTTTTATAAATGAGATCCCAGGAAAGAGTCACACAAGACACAAACCCCAGTCTCCTGGAGAAAGTCCTGTGTTTGGTCCATTCATCCACTATGTCTTACTCCCTCTGTAGGTTGTCACTTTCTATACCAAGTCACCTGACCTTCTGGGAGTACATTTGTCAGATTTCTCTCGAAAATTCACCACTTTATTCTCAGAGAATATCCAAGATTGGATAGTGTTAGCCCTAACCACGAACTCATTGCCCTAACCTCCAACCTCAGAACGTCAAGGTGATGAGTACTGGGCGTCACAGCACACAATGGGATCCATCATAACTCATCATAGGTATGGGTGTAAATAGTCTCATAGCTGCACTGTGCCTATTCTCACACAGGCGCAAACAGACACTCCTTTTTTTTCTTTCCCACTGCCCCTGGGTGGCTAAAAAAATCTGTTGTAGACTATTTTCATACCCATCGTCTTATTTTTATGTATGAATGTCCCCTTTAAGGTGAACCATGCTGGGATGTGACCTCAGCTAACTTGCAGCCCAAACTTCAGTGAGACCATGTGCCTCTACCTGTGCCCAACTAAAGCATCTGTGAGAGACAGGCAGGGGAGCACTGGGCCGCCAGGCAAATGCACGTCACTTTGCAGCAAACAAGCATTAGATCACATGACAATACTCAAACACACACACACACAGAGCATCATCTCCATGCAGTGTGGCTAAGTGTTTTAATGGCTTCTCTGTCACTCCCAGGATCCCAAAGACTGGAAGAGTAGTAATCTATTCTTAAGGAGGTAAGGAGTGACTGCACACACACACACACACACACACACACACACACACACACACACACACACACCTTCCTACCCCATGCCAAGACAATCTGGCAGCACCGTGTCTCACACGTGAAGAGAGTAGGGAAGGGGGGGAGCTGGGTGCAGTCTGCCTCCGTCTGGCATGAGCATACAGAAGACACTAACATATTTCTCTAAACTCCTGATATCCTTGAAAGATATAAAGTCAATTTCTGTTCTTCTTGAGAACTCTCAAAATATATAATTTCTGAATTATTACTGAATGTTCAGCTGACGGATTTAGGCCAGACTGAAAATATCTCAACTATTGATTGGATTGTCATTAAATCTTGCACAGACTTAGCGTCAGGATCCAGAGGATGGACTCTACTGGTTTTCATGATCCCCTGACTTTTCATTTGTTGTCATCATGTTAAGATTTATATTTGTCCCAATGCTTTGGTTTAGGATCAAATATCTGAATGCTAACAATATTTCCATGAGCCTTAGTCAGTCCTTTTTTTCCTTTTATCAACACGTTAGTATGCAACAAGCTAAACTAAGATGGTGAATATTATATTTGTTAAACATCAGTGTTTGCTTTGTTACTGTGAGCATGCTATCATGCCAACGTTAGCAAGTAAAGCCTCTGATCTGCTGGCACAGCTGTGGCTTTATCCTGTCACAAAGCACAAATATGAACATAACACATTTTATCATGGTATCACATAGAATTGCAGTTACTTGCCACATAATGAAGATTTTGTGGTTATTTCTTTTTGTATAAGGCCCATCCCAGCTTGCCAACACGTTGATATTTGGTTAAATTTAGATTGCAAGGTCAGGTGACCAAAATTCAGTGTCAGGACAACGTCAACTGATGTAAATGCTGATGACAGGTGTTGATATTCTCTGATAATTAAACAAAATGACATGCAGTTTGGGGATGCAGTGCGTAAAGAGGGCAATGACGTATGTGCAATGTCTTATTTACACAGACACTACGAGCAGCCAGAAGCAGGTGTAGATTTTGTTAGTAACTACGAACATTTCCTTCTGCCAACAGTTTACACACAAATTCATTCTGCTCACTTTTAATGAATGATACCCAATGTCTGCAAAACATGAAATTCTAACGTCATGAGACATTTACATGATTTTCATTCCCATCAAAATGTAACGTCTGTCTGACGCAGGAGTCTAACATCTGTCTGACATCAATCTGACATCTGGGGCCTGCAGAGATTGTGCAGAGATAAGGAAATGGAAAGCAGACATCCATAAAAGTGAGCTGGTATTGGTGGTTACAAATTTACAAAAATACATATTTTATCCAAGGGTACATTACTGGACTTCCAGTGAGTTTGAGTCAATAATACGAATAGTGTCTCATTATTACTTCATTTACTATAAAATAGTGTGGTGGCTGTTGTAAAGGGCTGATGATAGCCTCACCGTCATGTATATTCTGCACTAAATCCTTTAAGTAGGAAAGTAATGAATGAGGTTCCTTAGGGACAAACTGGTTTTATGAGGCTGCAGGTTAATTCATCAGCGGGTAGTTGGCATTAAAACATTGATAAGCCGCTGAAATGGGAGGTGCTCCAGGGTTCACTGCACACTTTGTCTTGTGACGAGGAGAGGAGGGAGATCAACTGATTGAGGTGGCTAGGTGGGTGGGAGGATGGGTGGGGGCTCCTGCAGATTCTGAAGGTAAAAGATTACATTTGCACGCTGATCATCGGATAAGCTTTGGCGTAGCTCCAGGCACCATGGGAGTGTGTGTGTGTATGTGTGTGTGTGTTCACACCAGCAGGACACTGAAGGCAATTATGGTTTTAAAGCCAGCGGGATGGAATCAATTATCACATGCCAACTTCCTCAAGCCCATCTGTCTGTTTTTTTTTTTCTACCTACGATAAAAAAAAAGTCATTAATCTACTTCAAATTAACTCCACTTAATTGAGTTATCTAATTATAGGGATAAAAATACGCATTTTTTTCATTTCTGTTATGTCTACTCTAAACTTTTTAATCACTGTCCAGTACTTTTTGCTTCATGTTAATCTGGTTGTCACGACATCGAACGCACGTTCACAGAAATGGTTATAATCACTTGAAAAACAGCCTCCTTATGTGACACACCAAGAAACATAGGATATATTACACAGTATACATGATTAAAATTAAGTAATCTTGAGAAATATCAGCCGCACTGACAGCCGATAAAAGCCTGACCAATATCCTTGCAGTAGATAGTAACATTTCATGTGTCTGACCACGTTATTAACCTAAGCTGAACGTCTCATGTATGAGCAGAGTAGTGACACAGTGACACTTGGCCTCAGCAGACCCAGCTGCACACTATAAACCCTCAGACAACCTTTTCCTGATAGGGGCTACATTACGCAACGCACACTAAAACGCTATGTGTGAAAAGTGATATTAAACATGCATGACATACACTGGAGAAATGCACCACACTGACATCCAACACTTTTCAGCTCAGTTTATATCATTGATGTGACATATTAAATTGTTAGCAGTTAGAAATCACCTAAAAGGGTCAAACGGGCCCTCAGCGGTCATTAAGGCGTATATATACACAGTTCCATTATGTTGTGGCTTTGAAATGCTTGCCAGCTTCTTGTGCTCAGTCCCTGTGGTCTGTGGCCCGGCACTAAGTGATCTCTCTAAAAGCCCTCTTCTCCACATACTTCAGCTTGTGCTTCCTCTTGAACCTAAGAGAAGGGTGAGAGAGTGGGATCGCACATTTTAAAAATCAATACACACCTTATGAATGCGTATATCACTGTGAGCCTTTGAGGAGATGTTACGTAAGAGCGAAGGCAGAGCAGAGGTCCTTACTTGGCTCTTTCTCTTGGTTCAATCAGGTTCCTCTTCTGCAGACTCTTGAAGCGGTCCTTGAGGACGCTGCCCTCTGGCTGTAGAGTCACAGCATTACAGGAGGCGAGAGGAGGGAGAGACAAGCCCAGACAAATCCATGTGAGACAAATGTCACTCTGCTTTGACTCAATGCGCAATTCCCACCCAAATTATAAAACCCGATTCACACCATAAAGGCTGATTTTAGTATTATTCACAGACATAATAGCAGCAGATAAGAGAGAATTTTCCACTGGCAATTAGATCATTTGAAATTGTAACAATCCCCGTAGGGAAAAGTGGGCTGTGGCAGTATTAGAGAATAGGATAAAGCTTAGAATAAGACAATACAGAGTGCTGAAGATAATACACCAACTAAATGAACCAAAACTCATTACAGATAAGACTTTGTGTCCTCCCTGGCAAAGGTCACAGTGGATGAGTTAGCAAACATTGTAAAAACTAGTAAAGTACCTTGAGCTGTCGCAGGGAGCCGGCCAGCTCGTCACTCAACTGAACCTCCATGTCCTGAGGCTGGAACCTGCAAATAAGGACCAAAAATCTTACAGCTGTTCCCAGAATGAACAAACAGATCCAGCCACATAATGCATAAAATAGTACCAGAAAATACAGGGTTCCTACAGTTTAAGGGGCCATACACATCTTGTGTTTGTTGCAGTCTCAAATCTATTGTTTTGAATGTAGACACGCAGCAGGCACGCTCAAATGCCAGCGGCACCCATGGGTTCCTGAGCTCCTATTTTTCCGGGTGCGATGACTGCGCCCTGAGATAAACTGAGTTTAACTTTTGGAACGCAGCACAACGCATCGCATGTAATGAGATGAAGACCAATCACAGCCGACAGACATCTTTCCCTTCATCCGTAAATATCAGTCTGTGATGAACACACACACACACAGCGCCTGGGAGAAGATCAGCTCTGCACTCTGGATTTCAGGTAAGTAGGCTACAATACAGTGCATCTTAAGGTTGCTTGGCAACCTCAGGCACAACCTGCCACCGTGCTCTTGAAAGCTGGCACAGAAAAGACACAACAGTAGGATCAAGCACCTGACCTTGTGTTTTATAGGCGGTTTAAGATGCGGCATGTGTACGGCCACTAAGGCAAGTTCGAGTCAAGATTTCAAATACCACTTAGAATAAAATTTGCGACCAATTTTACAATAACCAAAACTGAAGCAAAAAAAAACAACATGAAAAATGGCAGATGCGTGGTGGAGGCAAGGGCAGAACAGAACTCAAAAATACCTGGCACTGTTCTGTCACAGGCGTTTGGTTCTACTACCCTGATCTGTGTGCGTTAATGCAACAGGCACTCTGGACATTATTTTTTATAAATAGATGTTGCAAATTATTTTGAAATTTTACAGTGCAATGTCACAAACCCTACTTCCCATGTTTAAGACTTTTGAAAGATTGATTGGAGACATTTTAATACAAATTAAAGCATTATTTTAGATCAATATATTCAGTGCCTTTTAGGACTTTCTAATGATCTGTGGAAGTCCTGAAATATAATTTGTGTTTTTTTAATGGCACTGGAGAACAAACTAAAAGGCAACAAAAACCTACCTAATTTAGCTGCAGGCTAGAAGGAGTCCAACTGAACTAGAATTTACAACATTTAAAACAACTGTGTGCTAAACTGGGACTGGTCTGTGCAATTGTGTGGTCCGTCAGCAGTTAAATTTTTTTTTTTTTTTTTTAAATTTCAATTTTACATTTTGTTTTTCACATGAAGGTTAAATGCTAAATCACCAAACGCTATAAACTTTAAATAAAACTTTATATACTAAATTTAAAGGTAAAAGTATAGCATTTCCTTGAAAAATTATATTTTGTCTGAATTAAATAATTTTATAAATTTTGACGGGTTCGACGATGTTTACACATCATGTTTACATCGTACCAGCCAATAGCGGCCGGGCATTGCCGGTTGCCAAGTACGGTCTCTATGCTCGGCATGATGGAGTCTGCATGTCCAGCAGCTGCTTTAGAGCGTTATCCATCCCAGCAACAGAGTGACCGGAGAAGGGCAAAGACGAGAGTTAATATTGGCAAAGCATTTGCTCGATGGACTCAAATAAAGGATTCCCACGGCATAAGAACGCACGCGGAAATGGCTACTTTTCTCCTCGATCGGTAAGCTAACTCACTTGCTAACTTAGCTAATGTTACCTGTCGGCACTGTGGTCAATTTACTTTTTCAAGATAGATTTACTGCAAGCAGGCTGCGATACTGCTTTATAAACCGTGATTATGTGAGACTGTCTCATGACAATCAGGTATGAGCGGTGCGACGTCAGTGGTAAACAACAGACATGTGTAGATCAACAACAGATAACATGGAGTGCAGGAGAGAGCAGGACCATGCAGCGTTTAATGCTTGGAAGTACCGACATTACTTTGATTTTGACTCGGTAAAAAGTGACACAAACATTAGCGTCTGCAGTGCACTCTGCGTGGTAAGAAATGAAGTAGTCGCCAACCCGACACGGCCCACAGCGGAACGGGGGCTTGAGCCCGCTTCATGCAGCCACTGATGCCTTCTACACATTGTGATTTCCCAAAACTGAATAAATAACACACATAACATCATATATATATATATATATAGACCTATAGCTAGGCTAATGTTAAATACTGTTGTAAAATGAATTGATTAGTCAAAATTAGTTGTTACCCTGTATGATTCATCACTTGACATGGTGCAGGCTGATGGCTTCACACACTTGGCATCGAACCTGGCAACCCGACTGCTGGAATTATTTTTTGTAGTTGCGACTACGATCTAGACACACTAGATGGCGGTATTCTGCTCATTCTACATAATCAACCTTTAAATATAAATCTAAAATTCCATTGCCATAACATCAAACTATTATGAGATGTACCCCTGGAAAATAATCCTGATTATTGCACTTTGTTATCTAACTGGCCCTAGTGTCTGTCCTGATCTCTCCGTCCCCTGGCTGTATTACACCTCTTCCCATAGAGTTCAGTTTAAGACTCCTGAAGTTACTTTTAAAGCCCTGCATGGTTTGGCTCTGTCATAATTGGGGACTGCCTGACACCTTATTCTGAAGCAAGGCCCCTCAGATCCAGTTACCACATACTGTTCAAAATTCAATGTCCAGCCAGTTTTATACATTTAGACTATTTGCAGAACTGTTTTATGTTGATAGTGCTGAATAAAAAGGCTGTCTTATTTGGCTCAGGTTATGTTCACCTTCCTCTCTTAAACCAAAGTAGGTCTAAGTTAAACCTCAGCTACGATGACCTCTAGTGGCCTTTAGTGATTCCTACAGGACACTGCACCTGGGCTTAAACTTAACTGAAACATCACCTTCTGATGATATAGCTAGGGGTTTAGGAAACCATGTGACTGTTAATGACAGAGCAACAGTCCATGTAAAAATAGAGATCGGTTTACACATCTCAGCCTATACATTCAACCTGTGAGTAAATTTCTAATAGAAAGCCTGCATTACAAACTGAGGCTGTGCAGTTTGAAAGAGGTGCAGCATTTAGGAGTCAGAGAGGTTCTCAACAAAATAACTATGAGTTGCATTATGGGAAATGTAGGATCCAGTGTTTATGGAGCCTCACACATACGGCAGTCTTGATATCTCGGCCTCTGCCCTATTAATTTTGACCTTTTGTTAAACTGTCCCTTTCCATCTTCACAAAAGTGGGATTACTGAGTAGCTCTCTAACGTGCAGGCAGGTGTGAGGAAAGAGTAAGGTGTGTACTTGAGTTTGCCGAGGCGTCTGGGTTGAGCTTTCTGGGCCTCCTGATTGGCCTTGCGCTGCTTCTGTCTGTCCTTAGTTTTCTGTTCCTGCTCTTTGATGGAGGACTTTATGGAGCGCAGCTGGAAAAGCTGCTGCCGCCGGTCAGTCTGCTGTCTGTACGCCTGTCGCTGTTGCTCCTGGATGGAAAGAGGAAGAGAAACGTTAAGGTGGACTGTCAGACGGTGAGTGGAGCAACGACAATATGGTAACTTTTTGACAGTGCTTGACAGAAGCTGTTACAATTGACTCTTTAAGAAGCTGCAACATTGTTTTTGAATGGTTAAGTAGTTTAGGTATCTGTCTGAAAAAAATTCTTGCATCTGAGAAGCTAAAACCAGTAGATGTTGGGCTATTCTTGCATAAAAAAAAACATTAAAAACCTTGAAATGATTCATAGATTTTAAAAAAATAGTAATTTCTTTCCAACAACTCGGGCTCGGGTCGGGTCTCCATACTCTGGCATGTACCTTAATTTTCTCCGCCTTCTCTTTCTTCCTCTGTCTCTCAGTCTTCTTCTCTGCCAGTGAGATGGCTCCCACTGGCACACCCTCCTCTTCATCATTAGGAGCAGCTGCTGCTTCTTCTTCTTCATTCTCTTCTTCCACCAAGCCTTCAACCTGCTCGTTGAAGATTGTCTCCTGCAGAACACAAACACAGGTTAGACAAAATAAAACACCTTAACTTTCACAACATTAAGAATAAACAGAAGATGATGGATGAGCAGGAATAATCGTGTGCACCTCTGTTGCTATGTGTTCTTTGTTGACGGCCAGCTGTCTCTCGATCTTTTCCTCCTCTTTGTGTTTCTTGACTTCCACCTCATGAGCCTCCTGCAGCAAGGCCTGTGTTCACACACACACACACACACACACACACACACACACACACACAGAAAGAGAGAGAGAGAGAGAGAGAGAGAGAGAGAGAGAGAGAGAGAGAGAGAGAGAGAGATTAATGGTCAGTCAGGGCAGGACATTACAACAAGAGTAACCTTGAACAACATATTCTGATGGAAATTTTGATTTTAACTTTTTATCAGAACAGATATCTGCACAAATGAACTGCCTTTGTACTGGATAAATTCAACAAAACATTACGACATATGTAAAAATATGTTAAAAAAAACAAACAAAAAAAGGTAGAACATTTGCAGCCATTAGTGAGTCAGTAGGCTGCAGAGTTGTTCCTCACCTGGTGGGAGAAGAAGTCTGGGTTGTAGGATCCTCCAGGAGCGATCACCTCCACAGCGGGAAGCACAGACGGCTTCTCATTCAACTTCTCTGGACGCTGACAAAACAGAGATGCAGCCACATTGGTCAGACTCAAACCTTCACACATATGAGTCCCCTGACAACAGCTCATTAGATATAATCTAACTGTGGAAGAGTTTTTAACCCATCACTTAAATCTCTCACAAAAACAAACACTTGTTCTCACCTTGACAAGCTTCTTGCGCGTCTGCTGAAGGTACCAGGGGTCGGCTGTTTCTTTGGCTGCATTAACAAGAAAAAGTAAGTTTAAGTTTAAGTTTATTTACTTTATTAATCCCCCTGAGAGGAAATTCAATGTTTTCACTCTTGCTTGTCAATTACACACAGATCTGAAAGACACACACATGCACAAACAGGACCTATACATATACATGCACAAAGTGGAGAGATGTCAGAGTGAGGGGGCTGCCCTTTGGTCAGGCGCCCCGAGCGGATGGGGGGTTCGGTGCCTTGCTCAAGGGCACCTCGGCAGTGCCCAGGAGGTGAACTGGCACCTCTCCAGCCACCAGTCCACGCTCCATATTTGGTCCGGACGGGGACTCGAACAGGCGACCCTCCGGTTCCCAACCCAAGTCCCTATGGACTGAGCTACTGCCGCCCCAGTTTCAAATATAAGCATTTATGTGTGTTCATGAGGATTTGACAGCAAACACAAGTGCAGGAGTACACATTTTTAAATGGGTTGTGCGGCCATCAGAAAGACTGAGCTTTTTAAAAACAAAGATGGTGACAGATTACAGTAACACATCTCCCCCTTCAACTTCTTCATTTAGTTAAGGTAACCTAAATAAACATTTCACAAGGGTACATCAGCCCCCATGTATTGCAATAAACACTCCAAATAGGCCAGCATTTACCAGTTCAGACAGTAAAATAAAAGTCTAGTGGTTTCCCCCTTCAATTCCCCTGATCACCATCAGCTGGCAGCGACAAGAGGCTTAGTTTAGCTTAAGAAATCATTAAGTTGGCATCCATTTTCACAGGGTCCACATCTGTCTGTGAACGTACTGTTCAAGAGATGCACACAACGTTGCACATTTTAGGTTAATGCTATTTATACAGTTCTTATGAATGACTAAAAATCTATTCATTACTAATATTCCTATTCCATATCTCTACTTTTACACTTGTATCCTCAGATCCCAGATGACTGTTCACACAACAGTCACCTGAGCTCCATGTATGTCTTCACATTCCCGTGAAGGAAATACTGGGAGCGCAAGGATGAGATCATCACTGGACACACACACACACACACACACACACACACACACACACACACACACACACACACACACACACACACACACACACACGCCATACACACACAAAGAGCACTCACACTCTTGCCCCCATATGTCATAGTATTCTCTTTCTGGGTTGTTGTTGGCCTCTGTCACGGCCTTCTTGGCCGTCCTGTTGACCGGCCGTCTGTTGAGCAGCTGTTTCTGCCTCCGTGGCACCACGCCTTTGGCTGCCAGCTGCTCGGCCTTCTGGGCAATGCGACGAAGTTTCTTGGCATTAGGTTGCTGGTAGGCCAGCACGCTGGGGGGGAAGGCAGAGAGATGATTGGTTGGAGGTAAAGATGATTGGTTGGAGGTAAAGATGACAGGTAACATGAGACATGATGCAGTTGAAAATATTTAGGCCTGTTTGATTTGACACTTCATGATGTGTGTTTGCATATCCTCAGATCCCAGGACACTGTTCACACAACAGTCTCCTGAGCTCCTGTCTGTTGTCTTCACATTCCCATGAAGGAAATACTGGGAGCGCAAGGATGAGATCATCACGGGACACACACAGTCCTCAAACATTTAAGTAATTACATGCAAGGCTAATATTTAAATACATGTGTTTTAAAATCATCTGCTTTAACAGATAAAGGTGTCACATTGACAGTCTGCACTATAAATTGTGTTATCTAACAAGACCACAAATTTTAGAACCAGCTGTTTAATTCAGCTTGTCCAACATAGATTAAGTTACATTATTTACACAATACCACTGTTCTCACATACAGAACTACTGAGCTGCCTGATTTACACATGCTGCAGCATTCCTAAGAACTGAATCTAAACCTAAAAATAGCACTTGAGGTTTTAACAATGTACAAAGTGATGGATACTAACTCTTTTGCTGGTGGAACGAGGGAGTCATGCTGCAGGATCAGGTCTATCCTCAGAGGACGTGACGCTTTCCCTTTCCTCTTCTTCCCCTTGACAGGTTCCTCTGCTTCAAGAGAAATATAGATTTAATCAGGATCATGAACACATTTACATACACAAGTCAGGTGCTCTGAGAAAACCATGACCCAACTGTAGGCCCAAGGAAATTCCTATCTAGTTGTGAAATTGCATATTTACCCTTCGGTTCAGGTTTCTTTGGTTGTCCAACATCCAAAAAGAACAAACTGTCATCTGACTTCTCAGACAGCAGACCTCTGAAACACAGTCACATTTTGATTTACAATTGAAGACACTGTTTTTTTCCAAAGACCCACTGACAACTAACATTTATTTTCATCATCAAATAATCTGTTGAGCCATTTCCTCCAAGGAAATGGTTCACCATTTATTGAATGAAACGTCAGACAAAAAGAGAGGGGAAAAAAAGAAAATTGGCATCAGAAAGTGGTGGATGGATTCAGACTGGGCAAAATAAACAAATACAAAGGGCACTTGCTGCATGTGATTGAGCACCAGCACACACAAGTTGTTTTTGGCATGAAGGGCAGCCTACACCGATCAGCCACAACACGAAAACCGCTGACAGATAAAGCAAGTAACACTGATCATCCAGTTACAAAGCAATGTTCTGCTGGAATCCTCGGGTCTTAGCATTTATGTGGGTGCCACCTGACATGCTCCACTCACCCAAACACTAGTACAGACCAAGCACTCCCCCTCATGGCAATGGCCGTCTCGGCAGACAATGTGCCACACCACAAAAACTGCTCAGGACCGAGGAACATGACATGAACTAAAGATGTTGACTTGTCCTTAAAATTCCCCCGATCGCAATCTAATCACGCATCCATGAGAGGTGCTGGTACACCACCTCGCAACCCACAGGACTCATGAGATCTGCCGCTGATGCCCCGGTGGTCAGAGCCAAGCGCAATCCAACAATGCCCCACCATGGTTCGGGGGTACCTCTGGGATAAAGGAACATCCCACAGATGCTCGATCAGATTGGCATCTGGGCAATTTTGAGGACAGGTCACTCCCTTGAGCACTTTGTCACCTTCCTCAAGCCAATCCTCAGCAGCTCATGCGGTGTGGTATTGTGTACTGTCCTGCTGTAGGGCCACTGCTGCTGTTGAGTGCTGTTCCCATTGAACGGGGTGTATTTGTCTGCAACAGTGTTTAGATGAGTGGAGTGCATCAAGTGGCAGCCACATGGATGTCAGGGCATTGTCACAAGATGATCAGTAGCTTACCCCATTTGTCAGCTGTTTTTTTTTTTTAAAGATTTTAAGCGTGAAAGGGGGAGCGAGAGAGAGAGAGAGAGAGAGAGAGAGAGAGAGAGGGGGGATGACATGCAGCAGAGGGCTGTGGGCTGGATTCAAATCCTCAGCCGCTGCAGCAAGGACATAATTCATTTTCATTTTATTTATACAGGAAAGGAATTAAAAGTAACATAGTGTGTTACAGTTAAAACTAGCCTAACTCAGTTAAAAACAGGTTTTCCGCAGGATCCATTGCCTCTGTGTCTAGGTGAGTGGGTGACCACTGTACCCACTGAGGTTCTGGGCACCCCAGTTGTTTTAATGTTTTGGCTGGTCGCTGTCTATAACACTGCATAACATTTTGTTCATTGTAAGGGCACCCAAAAGGACACTTTATCATGTTTTATCTATTATAAAAGATATCTAAGAGTCATTTTTCAGCCACAAACATGGGTCAACAGCGATTTACAAAGGTCTAAAAGACAGAGACGTTGCAAATACCCATATTTGGGAACAAATATGCAGATGTTTAAATTCCTTTATAATTAAAATGTGTTGGAAAATCAATGTGAATCTCCACAGGCCTGATAAACAAAACGTGCATTGGCAGCTTTAGCAGTAGTTTACTACTAGACTTATTTTATAGAGACACCTCAATTTGTGACAGTTAATGAGGTAGAGATATTTTTAAAATAACAACAAGACGCCATTCAACAGGTCTGACTAATCTAAATGTTAAAGATGTAGGCAGCCTTTTAAATATCATCGACAGGAATGCCCGTATGTTGGAGAGACGACGACAAACAAGGGGAAAAAACCGGAAAACATCCACAAAATGTCCTGTACGGGAGGTAACTTACTGGTGGACGTTTTTAGAGTTTTATTTTAACGTAAATTACCGATATCACACTGTTCTTCTTCTCCACATACGGCTAACCAAACTCACCCTGTGGTCCTCTCCTGGTGTCTGACGTCTTCTAAAAACTCGTCTACATCGTTAATGTCGCTGAATTTGTTCCAGTTCTTTTTCTTATTCTTGTTCACACGTTTTCTCCGACTGCTACCCAAACCTGCACCGTCTAAAGAGGACTTTAAATTAAGAAAACCGGGCTGTGAAGCCACCACGCGTTTCAACCTCCTGGCCGCCGCCATATTGGCTCACTGTGGAAACGCGCTCCTTCTTCTTCTTTTGTGGTGGAGGACTGACAGGACGCTGCAGCGCCACCCGCAGGACTGATAGTGTAAATACTATAATATCTGGCTTGATGTTAATAAAAGTTTAAACTTGTTTATTTTTTATTTTACTTTATATTTCATAAAGCTCTGTTAATTATTTGCAATAATAAATACACAGAGTGAGTTTATTAACATGTTTTGCGTGATACTCCGATAAATGAAGACTACTGTGGTGGTTTTAAATTATATTTTTATATAAATTACATAAAAAATAAAGTTAGAACTGAATATAGTGTTAAAAGTCAGGATATTTGAATGTCACTCAGTTTAAATTCTCTCACGAATATTAGTAGTGCTTTAGCTGCCTTTTTCTGACCAGGTAAAATACATTTAATAAAAAACTATTAATCTAAACTATTAAAAGTGTCAATAATTAGTATTTACAAAAACTTGTTGACATTGCACCTGATTGTGGTTGTGCAATTGTTTATCATGTTGCAGCATGTATGTAATATGTTTGTCCCAGATGCATCATGGGAAACGTGTCTCCTGTTGCTTTCCTATGTTCTTTTTCCTTTTTTTCCTCCCTTCATTTTATAGCGAGAACAACGCTTTAGACACTCAAGAATACATTCCCATTTTCGAGCTGCAATCTTTCACTAACTTTTCAAAGGTGAGTATCATCATTTTATTAAAACTCCAATCTATCACATAATGTCATGTTAGTTCACGGATGGTCGTGTTTTTTCGTTTATTTTTGGTGAAAAAGAAAACGCAGAGCAGTCGAGCTATTATCTGCCTGCTCGGGGAGTCGGGGACCTAAAAAGCACTTGTGATCTGGTCAAATTTGACTCGGAAATGCGCCTAAAGTGAGGGGTCATCTGACAAAATATTGTTCATCAGTTGATCCGCTGACATGTCTAGTGTCGTCCCCAAAAAGTATATTCCACTTTCACGCCGTGGTTTTTATATTCTTCCGTCGTTTTTATCATCACCCTCTTCGTTTGCTACAACGATTTTTCCTTCCCGTTTACATTCTTCTAGCCAGCAGCCAGCCATCATCTTTAGGTGTGCTCGTTTGCGGAGACGGGGCAGCCGGCGCGGGCGGGGCCGACTGCATTTCCTTCAAAATAGCTCATTCTGAATAAAAAATCAAGGCTCGTGCGCAGCCGGGGAGCACCTGACGAAGAAACGAGCGAACCCACGTTCAATGCGCAAGGGGCGGGGTTCGTCGGGCTATAATCGGGCTGTGATTGGTGGAGATGATCACAACATCCCGCCTTACAGGCTCGTTTAAAGACGGTGATTGGTTGACATGATAAAGAGCTCTGCTATGATTGGATGCCTTCGCTGTCCTTTTTATCACAGTCATTACATAAGCTGCCTTCGATATAATCTGAAAAAAGAGGCCCCTGATGCTGATTATTTTTGAAACACCCTCTTATTGAAGAGCAGAGTTTTTAAATGCTGATGTAAAGTTTTAAATTCAGTAAGAAAAAAAAAATTGTAAGATTCAATTTTTATCTTCCACATCCTGTACCCTTAAGATATTTAGTCTAACGTGCTTAAAAATGCATTTAAGTAATTTTACTAAAGCAACCTTTGTCTTGTCCCCTCAGGTGACCTTTAGTAGCCATGGCCCGTACCAAGCAGACTGCCCGTAAGTCCACTGGAGGCAAAGCCCCACGTAAACAGCTGGCCACAAAGGCTGCTCGCAAGAGCGCCCCTTCCACTGGTGGCGTCAAGAAGCCCCATCGTTACAGGTGAGATCAGCCTGGAAAAGTGTCTGCACTCTGTGTTAGGCCAGACAGAAATCCTAAATAATGTCTTTAAATTATGGGGACAAAATGATATGGAGAAAAAAACATGAAAGTACAACAAATTCTCGAACCCTAGATTGTAAACTCTCTCTAAACCAACTGCAGGTGTTTTGCTTTGTATAGTTCATAGTTGGTTACAGGTGAGAGCTCCCATCATTCTTCTGGTATGCTGGAAAAACACAATGCAAGGGACACCACAGTTTTAAAAGAAGATAAGATAATCCTTTATTCGCCCCCAGCGGGGAAATTTACAACATTACAGCAGCAAAGGGATAGTGCAAATAGTAATCAGTATAAAAAAATAAAATACAAAGTAACATATGAGAGCGTAAAATAAGTAAACTGTACAACACAAGCAGTATAATAAGCAAACAGTATAAAAACACAAAGCAATACAATAAGGAAGCATCAAAAAGAAGAAAAATATAATAAAGAGACAGACTGAATGGCTGATTTAACATTATTGACTAATGGAAGTATGAATATTGGTCAGTTTAACAATACTGATATTACACCCGAGTGATTGATTATAAGCAGTGAAAAATAAAAGCAAGATAAAGTAATAATTAGATAGGCTGAGTGGCACATTATTGCAAACATCAAGTGTAGATATTTAGCAGTTAATTTTGCAAAATGTGCATATGTGAATAACACAGTGCTATGTGCATTTTGACTTTACATGAAGAACATTAAAAAATATCTCTGAGTGGAGCTGATGTGATATCCTGTCAGACTGCTACGTGTAGAATAGACCCGAATTCAAAAATTCCATTGCCTTATCAGCAGCATACACAGTTGCAAGGTAAAGATAAGAATAGTCCACAAGACTAAGAGTTCTGTGAAAGGATGTAAGAAGGTTTGTGCAAAAACACGCCTCCCACCTCAAATTTTGTATGTTAATTTTTTCCTCTCCTCTCCAGGCCCGGTACTGTGGCTCTGCGTGAGATCCGTCGTTACCAGAAGTCCACTGAGCTGCTGATCCGCAAGCTGCCCTTCCAGCGCCTGGTGAGAGAAATCGCCCAGGACTTCAAGACCGATCTGCGTTTCCAGAGTGCAGCCATCGGTGCTCTGCAGGTCAGTAGCTCCCACTGTTAAGAACATGATTAACCCCCAGAAACCGGAGCAAAGTGGCTTGATTCCTTCAAAAACATGGGAAGAAGGCAATGAGCAACAAAAGAAGAAACTACCCCCAAAAAATGCAGGAAATTAGTAAAAACAAAACAAAGCAAACAACAATAAAAAAAACAAGAAAAGTAGAAAATAAGAAAAGAAAAAAATGTAAAAAAAAAAAAAAAA